GGCAAGGAAGATCGCTTACTGTGCAGGATGGACAGGATTTGCAAGCCCAGAGAGATGTTGAGGTGCAGATACGGGCGGAAACACAGGCGGGCAGTGGTCGGAAGCCGAGGATCGAGACGCGCACGCGGCGTTGTGGCAGATGCGGCGAGCCTGGCCATAATGCACGCACCTGTCAAGGAGTTGCAAAAGTGCCCGAGGAAGACCATTCCGAGTAATTTCAATCATTTTTGTCAGTGTTGGTTGAATCATGTTGAAATTTGTTGTGCAGATGTGTTTTTGTGGGACGTTCGCATGTCTGGGACGTTCGCTTATCATGTACGTTACATCAAAAAAAATAAATTTGAAAAATTTACCGAGGTAGAATGATGGCATTTATGCTCCAGAGATACCAGGCTGAACCGCCCAAGAGGCACGAGGCTCACAGTGTGTCTGCAAATCATGGCCAAAACAGAGCAACAAACGGAGGGCGTTGGTTCGGGTTGGGATTCATGAATCACGACGTCCGCTTGGGCTGACTCACCGCGACATGTTAAGTCCTTAGATCTGTAGTAAATTTTCGTGCTCCCGTCACCAAAGACTGTTGTTGGTGGGGGGGTGGAAGGGGATGCTGGCCATTAATCACTGGGATTGCTGAGCTGGCTGGGCTGCCGCAGGCAAACTTGTGCGTCCAGCCAAAAAAAAAAAAAAGGGAAACATTCGTATTCGCTGGGTCCGTTCGTCGGCAAACGGGTGAATTGACTCGGCTGCTGCCTGGTGCTTGCGGTTGCCAGAAGGTAGAGGAACTAAGTGATGTTTTGGACCTGAAGATTCGTGGTTCGCACCCATGCCAAGGGACAGCGACCAGCTAGCTCATAATCAAACCTGGTCTCTGTTCCCAATGATATTGTTTGCCCGAGATCGCTGTGAGACAATCATTAATATTATGCTGTTCTGCCTCGGCGTTGCTGCATCAGCGGTAGCCGTCGTTCCATCGGCTTGTACTTAACCTATTAGCGTTGGTAAAATGACCTGTGCTAAGAGTCCGTTCCCCCAATGTCAGGGAAGACTTGTCACGGGTCAGAGGAGAGGACGCGTTGGCTCAGCGGCTTCTTGCGCCTGCTTTTTGTAAACAAAACATGTCCCGAAGCCATGACGCTCATAGTCACGCAGCTGTATAACGCAGGTCTCCCGTACAGGTTCAAGCAGAAGGTGGCTTTTCTCTTTTGAAAATCATTCGCATTGTCCATACTAATCAGTTCTCTTATGTACTTAAAGTGGGCTTGAATACAGAAGAAACGGTGCTATTGTGAGTTACCTTGCATTCCTATCCAGTCGTGCTCCGGTTCCCAACTCTCCTTCCCCGCCCATTCCGGCCCCACTCCACCGCCGCAGCCCCACAACGGCTCCGCCCTCCGCAACCCTCCGGCCGACCGACGTTATCACATCTACCACCTAGCGGGCTAAAAAACGTAGCCGTCAATCTCTCAATGCAACCAAACATCCCAAACACTTATCATGTCCACACTGCGTACACGATATATCCTTGAAAACTTGCTGCTTCTTGCACTTATGGCAGAAGTTCTTGGTCCCTCGCTGCTTGATGGGCTTCTCGACTCGTTTGCCGTCTTCTATCATTTGTGCCTCTTTGATTTTGCGTCGGAGATAAGCAAATTTCCAAAATCCACTTTCCTCGACTTCTCTATGCCTTGATGTAGATCTCTCTCGCGACACTTCGACGACCTCGCGCTCTTCCCCCGGACCGTCCCGGGTTCTTTTACGAGAATGCCAAGCTGCGTCGGGATGGAGAGCGTTTGCGACGGATACGACCGGTAAGACCCAGCCGCTAGTCGTTGCGGGAGCGGAACAGGAGGGATCGCGGGTATCCATAACTAAACGAAGTCAGTACGTAGGAGACAAGTGAGATAAAAACCATACTTTATGAGCTCTTCTCGTGAAACTTCTCTTGTGTAGGTCGGTAATGGTATAGCGGGAGTAACTCTCGCCGAGTGATTGCCGAACGACGCGCCCAATGGTAAAAGTGGTATAGCCCAATAATTATATACGCTGGTGAAGAACAGATGTAGGCAGAGGCAAAGACAAGTCCGAGAATTAGGAGCTTAATAACGCCCACGAACGCTTTGCGTAGAAGCCAAAACCCGTCGATAGTATCATGATACGCATCTGATGCTATCAAAGGGAGCTTCTCAAGCCATGTGCCCGCAGGTGAAGGCATTAGAGACACCTCATAGCGAGAAAGGAGCGAAGCAGAGGCAGCGTCGAGACAAGAGGACGAGGGTCTAATTGAAAGTGGACGGAGAGGAGCCGGCTCTTGAGCTTTCCAAACATCACGTTGCTGCGACCAATACTTTTAAATTGACGGCCGCCGATCCCTGTCGGGCCATTGGGAAGCCCGTTCTAAAGCGTTTGGCGAACAGTTAAACGCATTCCGCATTTCGTCTTTGTAATTTGTGCGTGATACGCAGTGTCTACAAGCAATATATATGTTCAGCAGTATATAGGAATAGTAAGAAACGGTGCCAGTGCCAGTTGCCCGCCTCTGGGAGTACCGTCTGGTCGTGCTCCCGGTCCCGCCCGTGCATCGGAGCATCTCCGCCGCCACGGGCCCCACCCAATCCGCAATCCCCACTCCTCCCCGACCGCACCCGTCTGGCCGGCCGACGCCGCGTCACAGCCACCTTTCGCACCCATTACGGCCCTTAGCCTGCCATTGCAACCCACCATGCAACGCATCTCTAGTAATCCAGCCGCTGTTAACGTGTCCGATGATACGTTTGACGGCCAAGTTCTCGTTGCGATGGATGAGGTCAAACTCGTCTTTGTACCCCGGGCATTGGCGTTTTGCTCCAGCGCACCCGGTTGCATGATGGTTTAGTTTCATCGCACTGAGGATAATTCGTCACTACGTCACCGCGGATGAATCTAAACTGACACGGAGGGCGTACATACCTTGATGTGCCGAAGCCGGCACATCTGGCACCCCTTGGAGGGCTTGCCGGGGTGCACCATAGTCAGGTTCTACTTAGGGTGCAACAGGTTGCGATAGGAGAAGCTAGTGCGGGAAGTTTTGGGTTCCCAACCCCAGTGGCAGCTGATATGTAGCCTCGAACCTGGAATTTTGAAATCTGTAAGTCAAAGGATTTCACAAGAAGTTGCGCCAAAGTCCCGATTGCCAGCGTGAACGTGCCTGAGATTTGGCGGAAGGATTGTCGCGCTGGGCCTCTCCGGTGACTGATTCTTACTTGAAGGAACGAGAGCCGAGGTCGACAGGCCAGGATAAGACGTTGCTAGGCGCATAGGGTAAGGGCAGGGGGTCTTCAGGTTCATACATCACCCTGGACTTGGAGTGAGATATACCGGAAGAGGTACCATGTAGGTGAGGATGGGAGCTGCTCCGGGACGATGGGAAGTAGTGCTGGCGTTTGCGGACTATTTAAGTAATTGAGCGGACGCACACCGGTTGGGTGCAGTCAGTGAGAACCATCTCCCTTATTTCCTTCTTCGGATGTCTAATACAGGAGAGTAATCGACGATGTAAGAGGGTTGCAGTTCAAGCCCGTATTACCCTGGTGGTTAACATTTCACAAGTTGGTGGCTGGGGGACGATGTTGATCGGGAGAAGCTTGTTGACAGGGAAGGGGAAGACGAGCACTGTGGACGGCGGGGGCGGCCGGGAGAGCGCTTGGCTGTTGCTGGTGTCAGCCGGCCGAGGGGCAAAGAACGGGAGCAAAAGAGGGGACAGACAAAGGAGGACGAGGTTTTAGTTGGCTCTAGAGATACCAACTACTCCGAGTTTAAAATCGAGATTAAGACCGTAACATGGCGGTTGATTCGCTTAGATTCCTGGCCCCCTCAGAGTACTCCTCCATCTCAATCCCTTTCTCGCCCTCGCCCCCCGCCTCCGGGCGAATCAATCGTTGCCGTCGACTTCGGATCCCCGGCACCAGTTCAGCAGCGCGGACCCAGGACAGGAAGAAAGAGCCAAAAAGTCACTGTGGAAAGGAGGGACCAGGTGCGCATCGCCCTTGATCGCCTTGTTGTATACAGCAGGAGTTAAGACGAAAGGGCTCCAAGATCCTGGCTGATGAGCGGACTCCCTTGCCTCTTCTTCCTTAGCTCCGCCATCAACGGCTGGACGATAAGATATTCCAAAACAAGACCTGTACAAAGTAAACACTGAACCGGGTGCTGTGTTTTCCAGTCATGTACTGCGCCGACAACCGTTACTACGACCGCCGCGAGATTGACTGTTATCCAACTGCCAAAACGCAAGAGCAAGATAGTCGGCCCGGCGGCCTTGTTGTTGAACGGGTCCGACCTGATAAGGAACGCAACCGCACCGACGAGAACGGCGAGATGAAGAGAGACTGGCGTGGACCATATGAACTCAGAACCGTGCAGCACCCGACTCCGAATACCGAGGGAAAAATGAAGAATCTGGTGCCCTACGACAAGCACCCAGGAATACTTCAACGTCAAAGCTTCCCATGTCGACCACGCCGCTTCAGTAAACCTGTGGTAAGCTGGATATACCACTACCGTGATCTGTAGCTTGTCAGTGATATCCAAGGATGAGAGAGCGCTGGATTACCTCAAAGGCCTCGGCAGCAGAAGAGACACGCCTCTCCACGCATCGAAGAGCGCTGGCGCGTATGGGAGTCCGCGAGCCCAGGCGAACACAAAGGGAACCGCGACCGCGATCCCAGCACAGAACCAGAACAGCCAGCAGCCAAGCTGAACCAAATCGGGCCGCCATGCTGCTTCGCCTCCGGTCGTCACGTAGAGAAAAGATCGTATCGGCCCACGCAAGGCGTAAAGGAGCTGAAGAAGTGAAGGGACTGCAAATGCAACAGTCGCCCAGACCACTTCTTCGGGGATAACGCCCTGCATCTGATGAACGAATGACAGTGTGCAGTCGATGCGAACGAGGCATACAAGGCAAACGGGGCAAAGTCAAGGGATTCCCGTCTGGGGCGAAAGAGAAGGCAGTAAACAAGGCAACTGCTGTGGCTGGGAGGCGGAGATCTTGCAGGGAAAGTGCATATGTGCAGACGAGAGTGCAGCTTGGGGCTGGCGCAGCAGACATATATACACAGACCGTAATCGAGGACGAGCCGCCCTAGCCCTCTCGCGAGCAACGCGGGATGCTTTTCCTGGAACGTTCGCCATGGCAGGTGGTGTGCCGGAGAACAAGGGGCATCAGAGCCGTCACGGTTCTGTCCCGAGCAGCGCGGGATGGTTCTTAGCTTTCCGGATTCTCAAACCCATCGGGACACCTGGGTGCATGGCATCGGGTATTAGCGCCGAGCGCCCAGGAGTGGAAAGTGGCTACGAAGTGAGCTGCATTTGTTTCCGGGCGCTGTTGGTGCTCTCCCGAGCAGCGCGGGATTCCCAAAAAGGTCGATGCGGCAGGGAGGATTATGGCATTACGGGGGGGTGGGTGTCGGCAGGAGAAGTGTGCGCACCACACCACCAAAGCTGAGCAGGACCGTTATCCCTGCAGGAGCGGTGGTGCGCGGCGCAGCGCCAGGACGAGGACTCAAACACTATACCGAAACAGGGGGTCCTTCTGAGTGACCCCTTGATTCGGTATAGCGCCAGTCTTCCAGCTCAGCCCGAGCCGAGACCCAGGGAGTAGGCCTGCTCTTCTCCTTCCACCTCCGTCTCGATCTCCCCCATCCCCCGCGCCACCCGCTCCCGGTTCGTGGCCGGCCCTCAGCCATATACGCAAAATGGCCTCGCCGCCCCCCCGACGCCGATTCACATTTCAAGGCACGCAAAGACAGTACGTCGAATATTTGGAAAAAGAACTCCGTTCATGGCGGTCCCGTGCGAGAAGCGCAGAGAAGCAATTGGCTGTCCTCCGATCGCAAGCAGCGACACAACATTCAATTCCCGACGGGATTCTGGACCTCTCCTTTAAAGTAGAAACCCCAGAGACCTTCAATTACGACAACAGCACACCAATCGAGGGACCAAAATGGGAAGCCGCAACATCCGATTTCCTGGCCCGAGTGCCCACTACGAAAGCGCAATGGCTCCAAAGGAGGATGGAGGTCCAGCTTTCCACGCCGGAACAAATCATCAACGCCTTCCACCTCCTCACCTTTCGCCGACATCAAACGCGTTCCTCCTACCCTAGTGTTGAATTGGCGGCCAGTCCTCTCGAGGCCGTTGGTGCGTACAGAGACCTCCTTAGCTTCCTCCAAAGGGCCAGCAGGAGTTCAACGCAACTGTACAACTACAGCCAATTGTTGTTTTTCTGTGTCTGCTGTGTCGCCCGGGGGAATGGACTCACCGTCGAGGAGGTGGACGCGATCGTCAAGAAACAACTGCCAGAACGTGAGGCGAGCTCGAAATACATGTCGAGACTTCGAAGAGCTGCCCAGTGGACGGCTCAGTTAATTGACGAGTTAGAAGACATACTGGGACACTTGGCCCCTTCGCTCTTTCTGCTCTGTAAGTTTGTCGGGCCAACTGCACGAACTTACAACTAACTACAAGTGGGTGGTCCCGCGATGAAAACATATCGCGAGTATACAACATGGGCTGAGACGGCGGAGTACCTCGCTAGAGAGATCAAAGCGAAGACCAAGCCTCTCCTGCTGAAGCCACCTGACGAAGCACGCGTTTCCTTTTCTCCGGCATTTCTAATCGCATACGTCGGTCCATGGACGTGAGTCAACCTCTTGGTATCAACCTACCAAATGCCAACTCAATTTAGTCTCGACCAGGTAAATTCTGCCCTCGGGACAAGCCTTACACGAGAGAAATACGACGACAGAATTCGGACTCTGCGGGAAACAGAGGCTTTTGCTTGGGGGTCGTGTATGAGGTCCACCGCCGGTTCCAACGACGGGGCAAACTCGCCTCCTACGATTGAATCTGCCTCCAAACGCAGCCAGGAGGAGAGCGAGACGTCAAACATACAGCCTATCAACGCTAATGACGGGGAACACCAACACCACCCACATCACACAGGCGAGTCCCGATGACAGCTAAGCGACGACAGACCTCAGGCGGGACACGGGGGAAGAAGCGCGCCAGGCAGGGCAGCCAAACGATCTTGGTGCTGAACGCTCCTATACACGATGGTAGGGCTTTGCAGAACCGACTTGTTAGGCTGTTTACTCTGACTAACGATAGAGTGCCAGATCCCGCATTTTCAAATGCGAACGCACGCCCCGTCAAATCTGCCCCAACGATATTACTCGAGCCGATCAACACCAACCCGCAAGGCCATGACGGACTGGTATCGTCAAACCATTCAACAAAGCGACGGAAGACGAGGCAGCATGCGGCGGGTGAACTCTGTCACAGCAACTCGGAAAGGGCGGAGCAGACATCGGCCATGCACATCCGTTCCATCACCGCCAGCCGAGAGGAACGGGAGACTCGAAGCACCGGTCGAGGGAATCACGAACAACAACATCATAGCTCACAGCTGCCGGGGGTCAATCAAGCGGATGTCTTTGTGAGACCCGCGCTCTCACCGCACGGCCACGCTATGCCGGTTGAACCTGAGACCGGCGCCGGGAGTGGCCAGGCGCATCTCTACCCTTCTCCCATCGAGGCAAGTAGGAGGCCGACATTCCAATCTATCAACGAACCAACAACAGGTGCACTCTGCCACCGTCACCAAGAAGCGTCGCTCCACTTGCTTGCTGATGCGGCGGTGCGGGGGCAGGTGGAGCCGAGGCCTGCGGTTCCAAGCCGTGGGCAACACGACGTTGCCGTTGTAACAACCCCCTGGGATTTGCCGCGAGACGAATCCAATGTCCGGGGCCTTTCTTCACGTGACGTTGAAACTGCTGAATTACCGCTGCCAGAGCCCCTCTCGGATGGATCGTTTTTGTCGATCAGCTTTCTCAATGGGCAGGGAGCCGGGCAAGAAGCACCCAGCGGAATCGTTATGTCTTATGGGAGGCATGATGTGATGGCGCTCAAAACTCCACGTCAGTTGCATATGGTCTCAGGGGCAGCTGGGGAAGCCGCAGGACCGGATGAAGTGGCAGAAAGGTACTCTCCTCACCGCTCTGAATCATTGGATCACTTCATGAAGCAGGTTCTGGATCTCCCGGAAGAGTAACACGGATAGCCTTCCTATATAGCTTATTGCGTTTCAGTCGCACGCGAAGCTCTCCGCGTTGCCACCGTACTCCTCTTCTGCCATTGTCCCCCCTGTCACTGCGAGCTGAAAAATGCTGAGGTGGAAAACGATATCCCCTGTCAACGGCCGAATGCCCATTCCCTCGTCGAGATGAAGGATGGACCCGCATCCCCAATCGATCCGGACCTCCTCATCGCTACCCCAAGCGCGGACAGAAACCTGCATTGTGCGGTCGAACAATGGCACCAGAAGACTGGTATTACCCTCGTCCGTCCACAGGTTGTCCGGCGCCTCGAGCCGAAGAAATCGTGACTTTGACAGCGGAGCTTCAAGATCCGTGACGACCTTATGAGCTGCCTCTGCCCAGTTTTTAATATCGCTGGCCTTGTGAGCTGTGAGCGAGCAGTTCGTATATAAGTCGGCGGATTTCTTACCACTTCCTTCAAGACAATTTGGCGAACCTCTTCGGACCGTTCAGGTAGACGGTATCTATACAACGATCCATCTATGGGCGTTGGTTTTTCGATTGCCAATTGTGCTGCCACATCTGCCATATAGACGAAAGGAATGAACCTGTAATTCGGCGCCGCCATATTCTCTGTCCCTGTAGCCATGGGAAGTGAAGCGACGGACGACGTCTGAAGACACTGTTTGATGCCTAACTTGCGGGGTTTTGACTGCGGAGCAACCAACGCCGCTCTTCCAATTGGTCGGACCTCCAAGCAGACCACCCAAAATACAAACAGCCCCGCTGGCTGGGCCCGGCAGTCAGCAGGCTCACACCAGGTCAGGATCTTGCCCGGCTCAGGTGCCTGGATGTCACGAATTTCATGTTGACGGCAATGCAATTTGTCGTCTACCGACAAAGCCTGGGCAAATCCTGCAGTTTGCAGTACATGGTAGTATATGTAGGTGAAAAAGGATAATGTTGCCAGCCGACGGGCAGCTCATCCTCGCTGTGTATGCTCAAACTTGCAAACCCTGCAGACGCGGAACTTGCAGTACGACATTTCCAGATAAACCAGAATAGACCACAGTAGCAATCCTGTCATGCCCACTGGATGAGGGTGTTGTCTCCTTAGTCACAGAGATGGCGCCCTGTTTAGACCTCCTTCATACAGCTCCGGCACGTGTGCAACCGACAGTATCGACATTCCCAGATGAACCAGACAGGGCCGCAATACGAGATTTCGCAGGTCCATTGGGATCAACGTGTTGTCCGACTTGATCATGACGAATAAGTGTGCACAGTGCGCGGGACTGGCGAGTGCCATTCTGACTAACGTGTCGGGAACTATCATGTCAGCATGCTATGGAATTCCCAATTCTTGAGATGGATTATACTGAACTAAAAAGTAGAGTGCTGAAAGAAGACAGGCTGGTGTCGTGATAACTCGTTCGATGTCAGCACGCGAAGAACTTGTCAGCCTTGGGGAACTACTGGGTCCTCGCACCTGAGAAGCAATGGATGGAGAGTCCAGATGTTGACAGGCCGGTGTCGTAGAGACTTGCTTGCTAGTGGTGCATGAGCCGAAGACAAGATCGGGGCATAGTCGTTATCGCAGTGGCGGTGCTAAAATGGATTAGGGGGAGGAGGCGTTCTTATACCTGCCGTGGGTGTTCTGGGCGACCAGGGGCGACCACCAGGGTGGACCAGTCCATACGCAGGAACCCCTTCATCACCAGCTTCACAAAATGCCCATTGAACACCGTACATGCCTCACCGAATCTCCATGCAGCATCCGCCATAGCTCTCTGTTTCCGACCGGCATTGCCGTACTTCACTCGGTCTCCACGGCCATTGGACACAAATTCAGGATGCTACGCTTCGAATAGGCTTCACAGGCATCACCAACAGCTAGTGGAATCACCATTTCCCACTACGGTGTTCTGGCAGGGCATTAATGAATATTCAATCATCTTCCTCCAGGATCTCCTTCATGAAGTGATCTTGTCCCACGCGATTGTCTCCTCCATCGCCGCTAGCAGAACCTGGAGGCGGATTGCCCTCCAATGCAACCATGTCGGAGTCTCCCTTCGGCTTGTCCGTCGCGTCGTTCTGATGGTTGGCCTGCTCCTCTTGTCAGTCCAGCCTCAGTCAATGGGCTCAAGCGTAACTCACCGGGGAGTTTGGAGGACCCTGGGGCCCTGACTCATTGTCGTTCTGGTTTCTATCAGACATGGTGATGGTCTATGTATAAAGATGTCTGATGGTGCAATGGCTGGAATGGAGAAAAGAGCGGTACAAGATGTGGTAGCGGTGATGATGCTGGAGTTGTTGACGGGAAAAAGGGCATTGTTATACCTGTCAGCCGACGAGCTCAGATCTGAGCTGATTAGACGACGGACAAGTATGAACAGACGTTCCCGAACCAAATTGCATTCTCCTTTCACAACTCCCCCCACGTTCACGTCGTGGCCGATCATGCAGGACCGGGTACGCTTACCTTGCCAATGCACCAGAACGAAGCCATTGACCACTAAGACGTCGTGAAAACTTCGGTCAGTTCTCCCCGGCAACCGAAACTGGAGAGACGCATATGCGGACATGATTGCGGGTCGACAATCGTTGTCTCAACCATGTATCTTCATCTTGGAGCAATCCCTGCGAACCACCGTGCGTGACTGACATCTTGACTGAATTGCGTTGAAGGATGGGCTGCAGTCGGGGGTACCTCTCTTAAGACACTCTGCATGCAACTAGTTCAACCTCTTGACCGCATCGAATTAAGGTGAGCGGTCTTTGATGCACTGAGCCATGAGCGATCTCCACCGGGTACATGATTTGGCCTTTCGACCGGGCCGCCGCAGTGAGCAAGACTAAAGCCTGACTTCTGGATCTGTTGACAAGGACCTACGGAATGAACCAACTATCACAGCATTGGAGTACTGTTAGAGGTGCCTGCAGCTTGGTAAGGAATTGCTCCATTCCACGTTGGTGAGATCGGCGGAGGATTTGACCCGAGAGTGAAACCCGGTGAGTGAGGTCCAGCAATGAGGAGGACAAGTGTCACAAAAATGCGATCCCTGAAAGTGTACGGATCCGTAGATGCGGAGCTAACTGGCGGCATGGATCACAGAAACGTGATGCTCGGCAAGTGCCGGCAGGGCTGAAGCGGCGACAGGGATCACAAGATTGTGATCCTTGCCGATGGGGCCTGTGAATGAATCGGATCTCGCAAATAAACGGAAGTTAGCAAACGGAAGCAAAAAACGGAAGTCAGCAAACGGAACTTAACAAACGGAAGCCAGCAAACGGATGCTAACAAACGGAACCGCCGACGGAAAATCCCACGAACACTGCAGAAACCCAAGGAGCCGTTCAATACCCCGCATCGTTGTCATCACCGGGCAGCAGGTTACAACAACGCAGTCTCCCATGGCATCAACAACAACGTTCGCGTTGGACGTAGCCGAGAAGGTCTCCTCGAGGACGGCTTCACCGTTTTGGATGACCCACTAGTTGGGGAACGTATCACGGAGATGGCGGAGAGAGGCTTCCCATACTTCACAGAATACGGCTTGGATTTCTGCAAACAGTTCGCTTTTGATGAGGTAAGGAAACGAGCCATTCCATCTCATGGGAGCTACCTAACAAGCCTTAGCGCATCCGGTCCATCCTTGAGGCCGCCTTCGAAAAATGTAGCCTTGGTCATTGGCTAAGATATGAGGAATTCCCTGGACATATTGAATGCTTCAGGAGGGGCGGTCGAAAGGCTGGTCGCCTCGTTCTGACGGTTCATCTGTGGGCCAAAGGATCGCAAGTAGCGTACTATGCCGGTTCGCACCTTCACGACATGGCAACTTCGAGGGGAAGACGGTCTTTGCATGAAATACCGCTTTCTGAGTTGAGTCGTGTCGGCTCTAATCCTAAGCACAAAGAGTTCCCAGATGGTGGTTTGTAAGTTGCAGCTCTATCCCGCGGTGTCGTGTTCTAACCTTTATAGAGCGATCCTTGACGCGCGGCTTGGCTTCGAAATCAAGCAAGGATATGCAATCACGTTTCTATTTGCGGTGGACGAGGTAATCGCCAACTGGGCTAAAATAGTCCTTCCTTACTCAGAAGCCTTGGTAGGAAAAGTGTCTGAAATGGGGAGGGAGAGCAAAAAAATTGGGCTGAATTTTACATTTGAGGCTTCCCCAGGAAGCAGAGGTACATAGCTGACATCATGGGAAGTGTAATAGTGTAATGATGTTGGAAAACCAACAGCCCCGATCCCAGGGTGATCACACGATTAAAGGTCACGACAGTGGGCTGGGGTGTTCCAGAGCACCAAGAAGGGATTGATTCTCCTCTAATCCAAATTGATCCTCCTTGGGGAAATCGCCTTTTTATAGCTGGAAGGAGACAGTGTGCCATGATATGACGGCTACGTCAGAGACTGCTTCATGCGGATAAACCAATTTTGACCGAGAGTCTTCCAAGTCCGTCAACCGGCCGTCATAGTGATAGATCTGTGGTGTTCGAGAGTCTCCGGGGCCGTCAACGGGGCTCTGCCCGTCATACTTCCAACAAATGGGCTGGCCCCATGATGGCCTCGGTAACCCTCGGCCGTGGTGTCATGACAATCTCATTTTGAGGCAGGCAGTGTCTGTGTGTTCTGAAGCATATAAGAGCTGCCCTCTCTTCCTGTCATCTAGTTATCTCCCTTTCTTTCACTCTCCATTCGGAGCAATCTAGTCAATCATTACCTCGCCTTGTGCAACATCAACCCGTGGACCGTAACAAGGAGTTTTGATATGCCAACACCATCACTATTTAGATTGCAGCATAATGGTTGTGCAATCCCCATGCTGGGACACCGTTCATAATCTGCAGAATCGGAGCATCAAATGTCCCCGAAAGGTCCAGATGTGCTTGACCGTCCTGCAGATGAGGTTGGTCGGACGCCATCGCGCCTTGGGCTCCCGACGTCCCCATAACTTCATTCACCGGATTGACAATCTTGTGGCCATCCGTCGACCAAGTATTCACCCATGCAGGTACACCATTCAAAAATGCAAAAGAGGAGCATCGAAGGCTCTCAAGAGGTCCGGCTGCGGTTGTGCTTCCATGGGGTAAGACACATCCGTGTCAGTGCCGGCGGTTCCAACAATGTGGGGAAAAGGCGGCAATGCTGAAAGTGATTGCGTTGTAAGCCGAGCTTGAACGGCTAATTCGGTCTCGATCGAGCGGCTGTGAAAAGGCGCACTGTTGCTTTGCAAGTGAGGTTGGCTGTCGATTACCGCATCTTGAGTCCCCGACGCCTCTGAATCCAAACCTGCCACCCCAAACTTCCGTTTCTTCAATGCAAGGTCTAATTGCGCATCGGAACGCTCGCGCAATTCATCGCATGTTGCCCTGATGAAGGTCATCTTCCTTCCACTCGTGCTGATGTGCTTCTCAACATGTCTCAAAAACTCGCTTGTGAGCCTCATCACCTTGAAACACACCACACATACTTCCTCGCATGGAACATCTAGATGTGTTGTCAGAGGCAGTCTGCGTGACAAATGGAGCTTGAGACTTACGTTGCTGATAGTGTCGCCGGAGTGCCTGCTTTTTCCATAACCGTCCTGAATGTGGACATGTTCCGTCGGGACAATAATGTCCCCCGTGGCTTTTATCTTTTCCTATCCTGCTTGTTGGATTGCCGAGATCATTGTCTTCATTGCCTCGATTATCGTCGCAATCGCTTTGGCCACCTCGATCGTCGCCGGTGCTCCAATGGGCTTGGCATAGTTCGGCTTCGGCTCGCAAACGCTGCTCGCGAGACTTGTGAAATGTCAGTTACAGAGCAACATAGACTGGTAGGCGTGCACTAACCCGATATTCTTGAAGATGCTCATGCAAACCACCTTCTGTTTGGAAGAGGGCCGAGCAAGCACATCGTGCAAGTTTTGAGATCTCGTACGACATAATGGGCAAAAGATGGGATGGACAGTGAGAGGAAGCGAGGTCCTGTGGACCCGGAATGAGTCGGGAGGATATCGGAAGTCCAGCCATTATTCCGCGGCTAAAGGCCTCTGGCACATGATTGGTCAGAACTGAGCCATTTGAGCTGTTTAAATACTTTGCAGTTCCATGCGGACCATGGCAGAACAGATCAACGCTTTCCTCGACAAACAGCGCCTTTTCTCTTGCCTCTCATCAAGTCAAATCTCGAGCGATCGTGAAGAACGTCGTACCCTGTCCAAAGTAGAAAGATGGGCAAGTGTGAGACTTGCGGCGGCGCCAAAGTCGTCAATGGGATTTCCTGCCCTACTTGCAGCGGCAAAGGATAAGAATCTGTTAAGGTGATCACACATCAAGACGTATGCAGACAGATCTTCCAACGTCTGACCTATTACAGGCTGGCTATCTCCTCAACCACAGAACAATAACAACAACGAGGACGAAGGAGAGATGGAACTGTGCTGAAAAGGATTCGCTTGAAGTGCATTTGCATGTGTTAGGCGCTCTCAATAGAGATTGTGTGACCTCTTTCTCCCACTATCAATGTTGGCCGAAGCCGGCCGCAAGAAATCTTCGGTGCCTAACACGATGCTCGAATGGGTGGCGGAGTGCCACCGTGCCCAGCAAAGCTGAGTGGAAGTTTCCCGATATAGCCGCCCTTATCCGAGGGCTTCCGCGGGCCACAGCCCCGTGCAACGGAACCCCAAAGATCACTCCAGAGCATTTCCCCTCTTGAACCCGTGGATCATGGCTGGCAGGATTGGGGCTCGCTGCCACAGGAGGGGCGTAAAAGATCTGGTCGTCGACGCAGACTAGTGCCATTGCGCTCCCAGTGAGATACCGCGATGAAAGACCGTCCACAAATCCGATATAGGGGTAGATTACACTTTGCAAGGAAAATCAGGGTCCTTGAGCAGTGCATCCTCGCCGAGGCCGCGATTGACTACGATAGTCTTGACTGCACGCTCCAGCTCGGCGCCGTCGAACAGCTTGCCCTAGATGGTTACGCGAGGACTTTTCTTCTCGAACCCCTTGTCGGACAGCGTAGTGTAGGCGTCGATGTACTCGTCGAAGGTCATGCGCAGGCAGCCCAGTCAGGCATCCCATCACGCCCTCCGAGAAGAAGTGTTACGGCTGGCCGAGGAGGCGCGAGAGCTGAAGCAAGAAAACGCTCTCGCGCTGACTGAGGGGCATAGCTGAAAGGAGAAGTGCGGAGTTGAAGAACTCGTCAATAACTCAAGCTAAGAAAGGAGTCCAGGACGCCAGCACTACTCGTACCTTCGCGGGCTCTTCCGTCGTCTGTTTCACTCGAAAGGGCTCAAGTACGACAATGTCTTTGACTGGACAGAGAAACTGTTCTACGAAATGCAGAGCAATGTCAACAACACAGCGCCTTTGATACAAATGAAGCTACAGGGGCAAGCGGCCGGAACGCCTTTGACGCAGAAGAAGCCACAGTGGCGAGCAGCGCGACACCCAAAAAAAGCTCAAGAGAATTCGGCAACGGTGAGGTGGGTGAGTGCAGCGCGACAGGCGCGCGAGCGGTAGGCTGGCTAGCAAGGCACGGAGAGAGAACCCTCAGGAATCAGCCTTCAGGGGGGACAGGAAACGGCTGAAAAGTTTCGCACCAAGGCCCCTTTATCCCCAGCACGATCCTAGATGTACATAGCAGTTCAAGGAGCAGAAATCGAATACCAGAGGCTACAGAATGAATTCATTGCGTGAATACTGCCGCCTTGCGACCCGCTCTCGCCTTGCCATGCATGCCTGACCGCACCCCTTATTAGCTGATGGAATTCGAAGTCTGTGACGTGCCGAATGAGGCGCCTCAGGGGCCGGCGTGGGGCGGCCCCTCGAGAATTTTGGACAGAATTGTCGCCGACATTAACCAACTTTATTAACTCAGGTTAACGATTCCCGAAAAACGTGAACCGCGTTTAACACACCAGTCACTCGGCCACCTTGCCACCTAGCAGTGGTAACAAGCACATGCAACCCTCTTTGCCATCTCCTGGCAAAGCATGTGCCATCACGAGGACCTGGGCGGGGCAAGGCCGAAAACGGAGCGGGCATTCGGTTCCATTCCAAATCGCGTCAACATCCAATAATTTGTACTTGATCGGCAAGCTCCGCAGGAGTGATCATTTCGCCATCCAGCTTCCCAGGACTAACCTCAATGTACAGTCTGCCCTACCCGCTCCCACCTAACTCGCCACCCTGCTCTAGCTTCCAGAGATACTCCTCCACTTTGTCTGCATCAAACCCGAAGGCAAGGCGCACCATCTCACGCAGGAGGCCCCTATCAGCCTGCTGTAAACGACCTAGGCTAGTGAAGCAAGCATATATCCTTGATGCTGAACTATTCAAAGTGTCTGCAAAGGACCCATCAAGAGCTCGGCCCTCCTCCTTCAGTTTCCTCTCGGCCTCTTGGAACTTCTGGCGGTAGATTCGTCGAGAAACGTCTTGCCGTAAAACATTCTTGTACGCGAGATGGCTAGGATTTCTGAGAATGTCCTCGGTGTCTGGTCCTAGTAAAGGAAACGGCATAGGGTAGCGGTTGACCTGCCACGGAGCAGTCTGCGCGAACTCCCAGTCGATAATGGCAACAAAATTGAAGTTATCATCCACGATGATGTTCTGAGTGCCGAGATCCATATGGTTGAGGGGGAATTGTTCAACGGTGTCGATGTCTCCGAACAGGGTAGTCTTGCCCAAAATGTCGCGAAAGACCAGGGCACCCAGCCTAGTGGATGAATCCAGCTTGCCGGCCGCGGCATTTGCAACGGCAGTGAAGTACTCAACTGCTCTAGAGAATGGACCGGCATCTCTGAGCTCTGCAGCGGAGGAAGCAGCTAAACTGCCTATAACTGGTTCTCCCGACGGGGAAATAGAGCAGACAGCGCCTATTTGAGGATATGCAAGAGTGGCTAGTTCCGCTTGAACCGTTGTCCACTGCATCATGATGTGTTCTTGTGTTGCAACCTGAACCAAGTCAGTGGATTTCTATTCAAAACGCGCAGCGGCGAAACAACATAAAGCAGGAGATGCGATAGAAGTGAGATCGACTCCGGAGATAGCATGAGACTTACTGGCAAATTACAAATATCGAATTCGACATCTTGCAGGGTATTTCCATAGAAGCCTTCCAAAAGCATATATGCAGCCCCGACATCAGCAGCAAGCTGTGACCCCGGGCCCTCGTATGCGTATAGGCGAGGGATAGGAATTGCAGACAGTCCTTGCCTCACAAACTCCATTGTAGCGACCTCGCACGCGATGCCATATGCTTCATCCTCTTCTCTGACGGTAGCCGGCACCTCGGGATGGCGGGGCAAGCGGACCCGGGCAATGACCAGGCTGTCGTCCTCGGCAATCATCTCGAAACAAATCCAGTACTGGCCCGCCGAGAATGGCTCGCTCATGATGACTTTTTGCCCCTTGATACGCTCGGCATGGCGCAGAAGCGCAGGCTTGTCGATGTTGTCCAGCGCTGCCTGCAAACGTTCTTTCATGCCGTTGTAATCCCACCCATCGAAAGAAGTCCATCGCCTGCTCGGCAGGTTCATCGAGTTCCGCATTGATGGTATCGAGAGAGGAGATTTGCGGCATCTAGTAGTAAGTCCTCGTAAGTCGTTGCAGAGCTTGGAAATGTGAACAGCGGGAGAGATGAGGGCACTGGGGATCGTTGGCAAATTGCTGCGGAAGACCCCATGAGACCACGAGGCTTACTTGTTTTCCATTCACCCTGGCCTGTCCCAGGGTTCGTTGCAGAAAAGATGTAGAGGGTTATCACAGGAGTGAGGGAGGCCAACAATATAGGTACTGTATGATCTGTGTGGTTGTGCAAGGAGAGGACTGGAGGGATGGATGGATGGAATTTATTTCGCCCGGAGGCACGAAGCCTAAAGGGCCTTGGCACGCT